TGACGCTGATGATGATGCCGAGGGGAATTCTGCCCTTCATTGGTCTCTCCGAAGATCCTGGGGTTCATCTTCTCAGCAGATCAAGTCTCTCTCCCAAATTGGCCATTTTGAAACTTACTCTCCTCGCAATTTACAGAATCCTATGCCTACTCTTGAACCATGGTGCTCGAGTGAACCAAAGAAACAAGTTAGAACTAACTGCATTCCACATTGCTGCTTGCAATGGCAATTCACAGGCACTTCAGGTATATAGCTTCTTCTGGTTTCTTTCTGATAAAGTTCTCTTATTTAAGCATCATAGCATTCTTTAATAATTTATTTTCTTTTAAGTTCTAAGACGTAAGTTTTATTTCTTTTGATATAATACTCCGTTGAACTGACAGATACTCCTGCTTGAAGACCCCGATGGCATCAACTACAAAACTTTAATGAAAGAAACTCCTCTATTTTTTGCTGTCAAGAACGACCATATTGACTGTGCTGAGCTGCTTCTGCGCTGGGGAGCAAACAGTGAAGTTCTCAATTTGCGGTTAGAAATAACAATCCCGTTTTAATCATAATTGTCATTCTTAAGATCTTCTATTGGTTGTCTCTAAGAAGCTTGCCATTGTAACTTCAAATGCTAACATCCATTTTTGTGTGTGGATATTTTTGTGTACCAACTATTATTTTGTCATCAGTAGAGAGAGGCCCATAGACTTGGCAACATCACAGGACATGCGTTTCATGCTAAACCCAACCAATATTAATCTCAGTAAGTTGGAGATTATGAAGATACTCTAATAGTATAAAGATGCAGATCTTCCCCCTTATTTGAGTCATCCATCCTACCATATCATTGTATTTTGTGTGCAGTGAATCGTGCATTCCCAGAGCGGAACCATATTCCTTCATTGCTAGGTGATGAAGTAATTTTAGACACATGTGAAGCACTTCTAGCCATGACAGATGAAGAAATCCCCACCGAAAGGTGACCACACTGATTGAAATAATGAACATGTGTTACCCTTTTGCCTTATTATCCATTTTGTGCATGCATCTCTGTTGTTGTTTTATTAATGATTTTTTATTGCCTCTGATTCCTAGAATCTGCTCAAATACAAAGACAGAGATTTGCAAGTACTTTGAATCCCCTACTGGATGTGTCAGAGGATCCAAGTGCTTTTATGCACATGGTAAAGAGGAGCTTCGGCCAAAGAAACAGGGAATGCATATTGCACATGCACTTAAACGAAGAATTTTTGTAGGTGGACTGCCACCCTCGTTGGATTCTGGTAAAACTTATGGACATCCACTATAGTAGCATTTAGCCATGTTTACTTTGTTAATTAAGTATAGTTGTGATATAATTATCACTATATGTTTCTGGATCAGACTTCCTGCACAAGTTTTTTGAACAACAATTTGGGTTGGTGGAAGATGCCCATGTTGCTAGAGTTCAAGCAGGAGATGATCAGATACAATCTCGAGGATTTGGGTTTGTGACCTTTAAGCATGAGAAGTCTGTTCTACTGGCTGTTCAAGCACACTATGTAACTATAATGGGAAAACAAGTGGAGATCAAAAGTGCCGTCCAAAAATGCGTTTTACAGGCTCAATCACAGAAACTATCACCTAGAGAACAAGAACAGAATAACCAACATGTATTGCAATTGGAGACAACTAGGGAGAAGAATGTGGACAAGATACTAACTCAGAAGACCTCAGAAGAAGCTGAATCTGAAAAAATCTCCTGGCTGGGTAGATTACTCAATGGTAAAACGAAGACACCATCCCCTGAATCTGAAGCAGACGGAAGCTCCAAATCAGTAAACTGGAACATTCCTATATGGCTCAAAACTTTCAAGAAGTGGTTTCCCAGCTTTTTACAAGAGAAGCACCGGAAGGAAGGGCAATATTCTCTCTCATCTCTGAAGGCTGATTTCAGGGCTGCTTTTGGCTTAGAACTGGATCATGCCTCTCTCGGCTACCTAAAGCTTAGTGATTTTATGAGATCTTTTCCCAACCTTTGTCACATAAAGGAAGTTTCAGTAGGTGGACATGGACATGCTAATCACATGCTTCTCTTGCCTATCCTTCGCAGGCCTCATCAGAGATTGCTTAAGCCTATCATGCATTGCCAGCTCTCCAGCGCAGCCTCACTTGATGATATTACCGACAGTGATTCTGATGGCACTGAGTGTCTTCATGATCCCTCAGATCCTCGTGAAAATGTTAGTGTCACCAATAGCAATAACAAAATGGCAAATCTACAACATGAAGTCCCTGCCCCTGAAAATGATTCAGCTCTCAAGGACACAGTGCCTGATATGAGCTCTAGATTTCTGCAGTTCTTAATGCCTGGTTCTTTCATGCTCTTCAATACTCAGCCACCACCTAATAAGGGCAATAGTGGTGCCAATGATGAAGCAGGAGGGGTTGAGGGGATGAATGAAAGGCAACTCTGGCATCAACAGAGGCACATGGTTTTAGAATCCCTTGCCAGAAATAGCTCATCTGTGTTCTTTCTTCGTGAATATGATTTCTATAAAGTGAGCATCCAAATCATGATTTAAGATCTGCTATATTCTTAGCTTATTATTTCCTAATGACAATGAGTTGCATGGGATGGTCTTGCAGAGTCATAAGGCAAGCATCAGGCAGGGGAAGTGCTTTTGGTGCAACCAGAACAAGTTGTTATGGTCAAACTTTCCATGCCAACATCAGCTATGGTGTAGTGACTGTAAAATACTAGCTGCTCGAGCATCTGGAAATTATGAACATAGATGCGTGGTGTGTGATAGGTTAGTTCAAAAATTTCTTTTCGTCCCATCAGATGGATGTTCTCAATGTTTACATGGAGATGCTCCCAATCACAAGGAGTTCTCACCACTAGATTCTTCACATTTTCAAATGTAAGCCCATACCGAACCATATCATTACCTCAATCTGCAAACGTACATTTTGTTGTTTTTCTTACCAGTGTCCTTTTGTTGCCCTTCCTAATTGGCAGTGCATCAAAGAATCCTCCTTTGAGGAATTTCTCTGGTAGCATCGAAGAGAAGATCAACAGAATTCATTCAGAAAAGGCTTATAATAGTATATGGAGTTTTCCTTGCACAGGCTGACATAGAGAAAGAACAGGTGACATAGTCTTACGCACAGGAAAGGTATACAAACTCAGTTTCCCTTGTGACAGGCAACTCATAGTTTTTGTAATGAACTGAAACTAGCTGCGTGAAAATTGTAAGTAAGCCTATTAACAGGCAAAACTTCAATCATTTTGTCTTCTCCTAAGTTGTTAGAGTAATGGAAATAGACAGACCTTTCATCTTTCTTCACGTTCTATTGTTGTTCTACTGTGTGTTGTTAACGCCATTACCATAGATAAGTGCTATTGGGTAAAATATTGCAATAACAGAGTGAACATGTATGCGGATGTGGTTCTTAAACAACACTCGGTTCCTCCAACCATTGTTAGGAATTCCATAGTCCTCTCTCATTCGATAAGAGCAAAAGCCAGGAAAAACACGAGGCTAGTAATATGGCTTCTTTAACAAGCGCAAAAACTTCAGGGCTTAACAATAAAATGAATCCCTCTTTATGCAGAAAATCTTAAAATAAGCGAGCAGCATTTCCACGTACTATTAGTCACCTAATATCTCTCCTAATAATAACAGGGTAAAAAGTTCATAAATGTGGTGTATATGGAAAAATTTCTGCAATATCACTTGATTTTCTATGAATCAATCCCCTCCGATAAGCTGATGGCCAAAAGATACGTAGTACAATCTTTGGGAGTGCCATGCCAACGTCGTCCTTGATCCTTTGCTCCTTCAATGAAGTCCAGAGGTTTGGCAAATTTTACTAGCTATAGAAGTTAAAAATAGCAGAGCAGTAGCTGCAGAACTTGAAGCCATAATCAAGTACTATGGGTTGAAAGCCAGCTCTGATGCAGCACAAAAGAGGCCATTAATTCAGTCTCTTGGCTAGCCACCACCTAGCACAGTAAAACTATAAAGATCTATAGGGAAATGTGCAGAACTGTAAGTGGAGGAGGCAGCATACCTTCCACTTAAGAGAAGAACCATCTAGAAAGATCTCAAACTACCAGTGTGATAGACTGTTCCTTGTTTTTGTGAAATTATTTTTGCTTCTATTCTGTGTCTTGATCATGTATATTCTTATCACAACAATATCAAAGCTCAGGATGTCAGCACAAAAAATGCAGACAAGAATACGCTACGCCTGGTTGTACTTAAGGTGCAAAAGAGCCATGTCCCTCTTCCCAACCTGCAGTATGCAATGCAACTATGCTGCAGAGGATTTATCCCGCCTTTTCCTGCATTAAGAAACCAAAACTTGGGATCGAGAAAAGAAAAATAAAAAAATAAAGGACAATATATGGTATTTAAAATCCAAAAACAACATGTAGAAAACCATATATGGAGCATGTGAAGTATATGAAGCTGCCCACACATAGGTAACCTCCAGACTGATGATGTTCTGATAAACTACTTCTCTAATTTACCTCAGCTGGAAATAAAGCTCCAGCACTTTCTTCCCCCTAGCCATGCATTTCCTATATCCATTTTAAGTATCTCCAAAATGTTATTAATTAAATATTAAAAATATCCATGTTGATTTCTTTCCAATATTAACTTTGTTTTGCCAGCAAATAGATAAGGTCACATGTTCAAAATACAATTTATCTGCAACTAGTGCCCCATTCTTGAATTTACTTCAGTTGTCCAATAAAAACATCATGCCAAACTTCAGACACGGCAAATCATCAGAGAAGTAAATCAAACAGTATTGACTCTAGTTAATTTAAATGTGAACCCTCACATAGGAGATGGAAGTAGTTGCAAAGTCACACTAGTAGTAAATGGGAGATGTGATTTTTGTATTATGCCCTAAATCACAATTTACTATAAGACAATAGTCAGGTTTATTTCTAAAAGAGAAGGAAAAAGGAGAATTGCTCATAGCTCTAGGAAAGTAAAGAAAAGAACCAAAACCAAAACTATAATAACAGAATACTTATTATGAGACACCGGTGAAAACATGCTCGTTCAGAAATAATCAAGTAGTAATGTTTAGCGAGAGAAACATACTTGTCTATTAATTTAACAAGTGATCTTGGCCGATCATATCCATCTTCCTCTGGGTGGGGTTTCTTTTGGTTAGCCTGTCTTGACTCTGGTTTCCAGTTTGCATTAATGAGAGACTGACCTAATAACTCTGCAACATTGGATGCCATTACCTCAGCTTTCTTCGCATATGGAAAAGTTTCCTCCTTGAAGTGGTGAGACAACCATAAGTACATAGACAACACTTGATGCCTTGTCTCAAGATCCATCAGTTCTGCATCATTTTTGGCAGAACCCTTTGGCATGCCCATGGCTATATTAACAGGGGCATTTTGACTGTAAACCGAAGCAAATCTAAGGAGATGGTACATTGCTTTTGGATCTCTAACATTAACTGGAGCAAAGCAAAAGTTGAACCGATCTTCCAGAGATAAACCCTGGACCTTTTCCAACATATTTGCCACCTTCTTAATATGATCATGCCTACACAAAAAGTATGACCCATCCAAACGGCAACTTTCACCAAACTTTTCAAGCAGCTGGGAGAAAGTAACATTAGGGAGTTGACCAGCAAACAACTCAACCTGCTCGAAAAATGGAAAAAGACCCCCTTTCTTAACATCTTCAAATGGTTGCTTCAAACACTCAATTAGATAATCCAGATCATCTAAGTTCAAAGTTGTTGTCAGTCCATCTGGATAGCGGCTTCCTCTACGACCAGCTCTTCCAGCAATCTGCTTCACCTGAGATGCTGGGACTGGAACAATCTTGTCACCATTGTATTTGGAAAGACTATAGAATATGACTCTTCTAATATTAAGATTCAAGCCCATCCCCACAGCATCACTAGCAACAAGCACATCAAATTCATTATCTTGATCATTAAACAAGCTAGCCTGTTGTCTACGGGTCTCTGGTGGCAAAGCACCATAAATAACACAGCATCGGTGCTTTGTGTGCTTCTCAATAGCCATTTTCACCTCAAAGATCTCTCTCCTAGAAAAAGCAACCACACAATCCCCAGATCGAACATTACGAAGATCTCCCAACAGCGTCTTTGCTTCAACCACTAATGGTTTGAACCTCTCATAGTGTTGTTCATGCAATTCATCCCCAGTATCTGAACAGATCTTTCTAACAATGTTTAAAACACTTGGATCGCCACATAAATGTATCTCATCAGCCTTCAATCCAAGCAATGCCCTTGTCCATGCATAACCTCTATATGGATCTGCCATCATTTGGATTTCATCAATTACAGCTACATCGTATAACTCATCTGTTGACACCATTTCCACCGTACAAGCAACATGGTTCGAAAATGGCACATGTTTCTTTTCTTGCCCTGTAAGGAGACTGCAATAAACTCCCTGTGCATTTACTTTGTCAAAAACTTCCATAGCCAAGAGCCTCAGCGGACTACAATAAATACCTTTCTTTGCTTCCATAAAACACTGCAATGCATTGTAAGTCTTGCCACTATTTGTTGGACCACAATGATAAATAATCTTGCGCTTCATTGCCCGTGCAAAGGGAAACCAAGTATGGGGTTTTGTAAGATCCGCTGATTCAAGCATACCTTGAAATCGCCTGATCTCATCAGGGAATTCTTCAATGCAGAACTCCACAAATATAGGGAAGAGGAACTTAACGGTAGCATCAGATGGACCAAGCGACAGCACATGCTTGACAATTTCAGAACAACATTTCTTATAGAAGAAATTACGGAACTTATGAACAGCAGTGCGAAAAAATGATAAGCCAATGTAAATCCCAAGAGACTGGTTGGCTGCCCAACCTGATTTTGCAAAACAATTGAAAACTTCCTGCAAAGTGTCCCATTCTGATTGTTGTAACTTATGCCTTCTAGGATTATCACGAAGCTGCCTATACAAGTCTATGGGATCACGAAAGGCAACATCTTCACGCTTCTCATTTTCATCAATTCCATCTTCCTGTTCAACAATTTCTGATTCACAGGTATTGTTCTCCTCAAAATAATCAACCCCATTTCCCATTCCATTCTCCTCAACACCATCAAAACCAACACTTTCCACAAAATCCAAACCCTTCTTATCCTGCAACTCCTCCACCGCTGAATTGCAACTATTACTCTTCTCAAAACTGTCCCCATTTTCAACTGTGGACGAAAAGGGCCTCACGTCAGCAAGGTTAAAATGCCTGAATTTTGAACCATTTGATGGACGAATAAGGTCGACCAGGCTAGTAGAGACCTGCCGTTTGGGAACATCAAAGGTGGCATTAAAGTGGTCTTTCTCCAACACCCAGTCGCCAAATTGTCTGAGAGAATGAAAATACCGATTCAATAACAAAGCCCTGGCCCTAGAAACGCTCTTCTTTGACGTAAAGATTGTAAACAGAAACGTTGCAGGAACTCTTCCCATTGAACAATTCCTTACATAGAAACAAGAACCCAATAACAGTTTCCTCTCTCTTTTTTTGTTTCCCAAAGAAATTAAAATCTGAAAACAGTATTGATGCAATGTAAGAAAAATTGGGAATCAGGCAACACCAAAAGTAGATTTAAGCCATCAAAAGCAAATACAAAAATTGAGAGTGTTTTAAGGGAAGATACCTGTGTCCTGAATATGATTGAGAAAGCGCGAGGAAATGGAGGGGGTTCAATGGTGGTCTGCGTCGAGTATGTATTTCCCAATTTTCTCGTCGGTCCAGGTAAACCGTCCACCGCTGCGTGTCATGAGGGGCGGCGTACAGAAGGCGGCTGTTAACGGAACCCTAATTGTGATACTTTCTGTATGAACTCAACGAAATTGAGTACGGAAACACAATTCCCTCCCACTCAATTCTCAATTTACAAACAAGGCAAAACCTACGTTAAACCCCTAAACTAATCTCATAATTTTAATTGAGGCTTTGGACCTTTTTTTAAAGCAAATATGCCTTTAAACCTAATGATCTATGCAATTTTATCATCTTCTTAATGGTAGACTGCAAAGTTGCAGTTTTGCAGATAAAGAAAGACATAGAAGAGGGAAAAAAAGACATAAAAAGGGCAAAACTACAGCGACTGTAAGGTTTAGAAACTAATTCACTTTAAAAATAATTTAAAGATGTGAGGTTCAAAAACTCATCTATTTTAAAAATAATTTAAAGTCTTAATTAAGAATATAAAATAAGTTCAAGAATTTAATGTGAAATTTTACTTAAAAAAACAAGTGCCACATACAAATTTAAAAAATTTAGAAGTTGTTAGTATTGAGTACACATTTTTTAGCTTTATAAGCCTCCCAAATGCAAAGCAAGGAGACTTCTTTCTTTCTTCCAATTTTTTTCTATGTTTTTCTTTTGATTGGTCTAATACCGATAATTAAATAGAGGTTCAAACTCTTATAATATTAAGTAGTTAATTTTTTTATGTACAAAAAATAAAATTCAAATTCTTTCATTTTATGACATATGTTGTCCATTTGTAACACAGAAGTTGCTTGGATTGGCATCATAGCAAGATGGCGACAACGAAAATATCAATGGTGTGTAGAAATTTTGTTGGCGATGAGCTGTAAGAGCTAATGCTGGCTTTGTAAAGACCTTTCCTCTAATCATTGGATCAAAACCACATTTACAACATGAATGCTTTTTCAAAGTTATCATGATGAAGTCATTATCAAGAGTTCCATTTGTTTTTTGTTCCCAACATTTTCCTGTGCGTTAGTGGGTTATTTCCATTTTGTATATAGTATGAATGAGTGTGAATACGGAATCTAAGTTAAAAGCAACTGTGATGCCTACAGCCTCCCTTAGCTTGTCTCTACATGGCTCCTCTAGCAAACATTGTTCATCAATATTTGCTTCACACTATACATTTGTACTTACTTGTCGAAATGTATCAACTTAATTACAATTACAATTACATCATCATGACAATTAATTGCTTTGTTAGTATTAAATATCAACAAATTAATATTTTGGTCCTGCTGATATGATATTTGTGTCCAAGATCCCATCAATCTTGAAACTGACTTTAATTGTTTAATTTTGTTAATCTCTCTTGGCAGGTGGCTAATCAGCTCACCCCAGAAACACCCATTTCATCCTAATGTGTTCTCCTGAAAATCAGACCACCAAATTTTGATTCTTAAATTAATTCATAAGATTTTAAAAGTCATTTAACCATTAATCTCGTGTTTGTCTCTATGTTGGATCTTGGCTTCCAATTCTCAAACACTAATTTGGAATCTAACACTTCACAATCAAAGTGATAATTAATTACCCATATTCCAATTTTACGGTATATGTTTCCATCTCTATTGATGGATATATATATATATATATATATATATTTTTTTTTCTCATCCTTCACCACAAAAGAAACAAGCAAAGTTTGTATCTTTTTAACAAAATTTGAAGAAGATTGATGGGTATTGATTGATGCACAATTGTTTTTTATGACTTAGGGAAGATAAGATAGGTACGTGGAGCTCTCTAATGGTCTTATATATACAATTAGTATAGGATGAGGTTTGAACAGTAACTTAAACAAAAAGGAAACTATAGGGAGAGGGGTGGTTTAAGAATGAATTAAGATTTTTGTCAAAATAATGATAGGACATTGAAACAAGGTTGTTTTCCAAGAGGCTTTCAAAAAAAAAAAAAAAGTTGCTTTCCAAGAGATAATGTATCCTCAAGCTTCTAGTAGACTTTAGGCCATTGTGTATGATTGAGTATAGTGAAAGCATGAGGCTACATGGTACAAAGTTTTTTTTTTTTTTTCAATGTTAGTTGTATAACGGAAAGCAACTCTCTCCCATCTTTTATCCCAACCGTATATCATGTGATTCAAATTCAAGATCTCTTACTTCAAGTGTAAAGAAATTACCACTGAGTTGTTTAGGTCGTTAGCAGAGTACAAAGTAATTAATTCCTAAACTCCATTTAAATATTGAGTGCAAGTTGATTTATATATATGGTTTGTTTATTGACTTGTTTTGGCCATTATTTTTGACCTCTACCTTGAGTAGTTTCCTCCTAAAGTTAAAGGTTTACTCCGATTGTCTGGTAGTTTTTTTTTTTTTCTTTTTGATACTAGATTGTAAAATGGACACGATTGCATTCTTTTACTCACTTCACCTATACAATTTAAACTCAAGAGTTTTGACTTCCTATAACAAAAAATTTTTACCGGCCATTTAAGTCATTTTATAAACTTAAGCAAACCCAAATTTGATCCTCTTAAGAAACAAAAGGTTATTAGTTAGAGTGGCTGCCAGTTGGAGTTTAACCATAGAAGTTTGGAAATAGTCAATATTATCTTAGATATGGGATTTTTACACATTGGGAACATGGTTATGTCAAGGAAGTTAATGTTCACATTATAACATAGAAAGAGAGCAGAAAGCTTAGGTTAAAAGATTTTGACCCATTTCTCAACTTTTTATTGGCAAACCCTATGTTAAACTACAGACAAGAATAGTTCCAAACGAGGGCTAATATTTATTTGGGGGATTACACTCAACTTGGGTTTCATATTTGGCAAATTTTGACCACAAGATCTTCACCTATTTATTAATGTCCTAGTGCTTGCTCTCTATATAGCAGACATGGTTAGCAAACTTAAGCACATCCATTAGTAGTTTAAATGGAGCACAGTGATTTTGAAATCATTGCAAAACCAAAACTACCATTGAGTTCATATCAAGCAAATGGTAAAAACAAAAGAATGGGGCGTTACCAAAAAATAAAGTTTAGAAATTTAGGAATTCCATGTCCCAAAGTTCAAAAAATTTAGGGGATTGATCTCTTCCATTGCTTTTCTTAATCTTAATCTTTGTTGGCAGGTATTAGGATTACTATACATTTTAATTATTTTTTTTAGAACCAATGTGGACAGCTTCTCTTACCTAATTAAGATGATGATATATACCACTATGTTTTAGTCAAGAAATTGCATGGGTGTTTACAAGTATGATTTTAAATTGTCAATGAGGCATTACTTCCATGGATAAATGAATACATTAAAGCTTAGGAAATTATTGAAAAGAATCCAATCAATCAAAACGGATGGGTGAAGATTAGAGAGAAATGCTATCCCTTGGAAAAAAAATCCATGCAAAATTTTAATTTTCTAGCATATTTACTCTTTTAGTCCATGAGGATGTAGAATATGTGTACATTATGATGTCTAATGACAATTTGACATCAGTTCTCATGCCAGTTAACCCAAGTAGTTGAACTGCTGAATTCCTGCAGTTTGGTGAGCTGTCCAATTTTTAACCATGTGCAACTTCATATGGCTCAACACTATAAACTGTTTGCTTAGTTTTTTCCTTAATAAGCATATTAGCCCTAATCGAGGTAGTGTCTAGCTGCATCAGTGCACCAAAAAAATAATAATAATAAAATATGATAAACGGAAGAAGAAAAAGATTCATGTCCCCCTTTTGCACTTTTTAAGGGTTCAATGAATGAATATGAAATGGTCATTTCAGCTAAGGACATGAATATAATAGTAAAATGGTGGCGAGGGAGATTTTTTCATTTTGGAAGTTTCAGGGGAAATATACAGCCAAACATTTACATATTTAATTATGATTTTATGGGAATAGGTCACATGTTCACATGTAGAAGAGAGAATGGAATAGAAGTTCTAAGGAATGGAATAGAAATTGCCTTTTTCTTTTTGGATCCAAGGATATATTATTTTTCCTCAAATGGGGTTTTAAGAGGAGTTTGCAGAGAATCTCATAGGTTGAATATAAATTTGAGCCAAAGAATAGGTAAAAAAGATTATTCAAGCAGAGATTAATATAATGTGGACAGAAAATAAAATAGTAAATGGTATTGGAAAGTTAGCTTGTCTTCTTGTCCTGACTTTTGTTGGATAAAAAAGGGAAGAGTTTCCTGGAGAATTGAGTCTGGGAGGTGTAAAAACAATTAGGTGTGAAAATCCCCAAACACTGCTGATTTTGTAGTCTTCTTGAGATCCTTTGATATGGATTTGAATAACTTCATGAGGGGGGAAAGCACCATTCATAACTTTTCTATTCCCCTGACTTGTGTTTTTCTACGCAAGTGTTTTTAAATTGTGCCAGGCTTGGCTTAACCTTTCACTAAAACACTGATTTCTGCGTAAACAAGCTCTCTTTCAGAGGTAAAACCCTGGAAGGGCGGCCTAAACTTCGGGGGCAGACGACTCCTCTTGCAGCATCAAGCATATAATGGCTTTGAATGAAGTGAACCTGTGTTTTGAACTTATTCTCTGAGTTCCTGTTCAGGAACTTGCTTCAAAGTTTGAGCTCTTCTGACTTTCCAGGCAGTAGAAGTTCTTGAGACTACTGCAAACGGATCTTGTTTAGCTTCTGCTTCTGCTTCTGCTAGAAGAAACCAGCTTTAAGGCATACCCCTTTAAGTTCTATTATTGCTCTCTAGTGGGTAGCTTGAGGGATATGGATGAGAAGGATGATGTTGATAAGGTGGAAGATGTCATGCTTCCTGGTTTTCGATTTCATCCAACAGACGAGGAGCTTGTTGGGTTTTACCTCAAGAGAAAGATTCAGCAAAGACCTCTGCCAATTGAACTGATCAAGCAAGTGGAAATATACAAATATGAGCCATGGGATCTTCCAAGTAAGTTTCTTCATCTCTACTACATGATGCTTCTGTTTAGCATGCAGCTTTACATTCCTTCAATACAAACTTCAATGGAAAATTTTTCTTATCTTTTGTTTGTACTAATGCATCTGAGTCTTGCTTTTCAACACCATCAGAACCCAGAAGTTTCCTTCAATTTCTTTCCTGAAAGTTGTTCTTCCGTGTTTGGCTGATTCTGTTGTCATGACCCTAAACTTAACAAAGATTTCGATATCATTGCTGTTTCAAAACTTGTCTGTTATGTATTTTTCAAGTAGTATGAACATAATTATATCCCTTATCTTTGTTTTCATATTCCGCTAAATACTTCTGATGAAAATCTAAGTTTCAACTAAGCCAGAAATTTGAGAGTAACTTCTCTTTTCTTTTTCTTTTTTCCCATAAGAAGAGTTGGCAGCTTCAGGGGAGAAAGAATGGTATTTCTACTGTCCAAGGGACCGTAAATACAGGAATAGTACAAGGCCAAACCGAGTTACAGGAGCTGGATTTTGGAAGGCAACTGGGACAGACCGGCCTATTTACTCCTCTGATGGCACCAAGTGTATTGGTTTAAAGAAGTCTCTAGTTTTCTACAGAGGTAGAGCTGCCAAAGGGCTCAAGACTGACTGGATGATGCACGAGTTCCGGTTACCTTCTCTCTCAGATTCTACACCCCCAAAGAAGCTCTTGGACAAAAGCCTCCCTGCAAATGTAATGGTTTAACCAATTCTTCCATCTTTCTTACCTTCTTCTTGAAAACAAAGATCATTAAGAAACAATCTAACATGATAAATTTCCTCCCCTTGATCCACAGGATGCATGGGCTATTTGTAGGATATTCAAAAAGACCAACTCTGTGGCACATACATCTCTTTCCCACTCTTGGATATCTCCATTATCAGAAACTATAGCACCTGCTATACCCAATCATGGCATTCATGGAAGCACCCAGTTGAGTTCAGAGAATATTTCTTGCACAACTAAAATTGGCTCATCAGCAATGCCATTATGTGGCAACAATGGCTTGCAACAAGTCTCTACTGCTAGTTTTCCTGCTTTGGATATTCCCCCTTACAAATCCTATAATCCTGTATACAAACCATCCCCTTTTCCATTTTCCAATGGAGACCTTTCCAACAACTTTATATTCTCACAGCTTGACATGTCAGGAACAACTACAAAATGTACATCTGATACTCCCTCTATGCTTTTGAACCCTGCCTTCATCGGTGAAATTAACAAGGCCTCAGAGAGTATAGACTTTGAAGGGCAAGAACAACATTTCCTGCCCCAAGAGATGCAAGGGAATGCAGGTGTAGGACAAGATGAGGCTCACACAAGGAATAACCTGTGGGGGCCTATGCGATCAATGGGGTTCCCTTTCAACTTGCCTCCAAATCTGCCTGATTCATGGAAGCCTAATCTACCATGGGATTCACCAAGCTGTCCAAGTGAGATGTCAACTACTTATTCCCCAAACAAATGCTATACTTAAGCCGCTGTCTTCTGGTTTTGGATTACTATGTTGGAGCTAGTATGAGTGAGTGACAAACTTGTTTACAAATTTATTGTATAGTTATTAGTTTTCATGTAGTATTCCAACTATATGCACTAGGCTTAATATTTTCTTAGGATTTACTTCCATCAATTCTTCTTGAATCAGAACGCACTGCAGGCTTTCCTTCCCTTTGCACTCCCTTCTTCCCACTTTACTGAGTAAAAGAGTTTGTTTAACTTCTGTCCATCAAGTCTGAAAATTTTTTCCACCCAGCTTTATGAAATTTAAGTAAAACATGTTGCTAGAGGTTATGACAGAAGATCAATATGCCACGAAGAATCTCTGATGCAAATAATTTAGACAAAATCAAATTTATTAAAGATTACCGATTGAAAAAGACGAACTACTCAAGATTAAAAAATCTCACAAACACAATTTGAGTGATGAATTCTGTCTTGCAGTTTAATTTCAATATCATTAAAGAATTTCAAGAATCAGTAAATTGATATTGGAGATTTCACGGATGCATAAAGATCAAAGTATGGTGCTTTTTCTCCCAAAAATAAAAAATATGGTTTCTTTCCGATAACACTATGTAATTTTATATACCCCTTCTTAATAAAGTTGTCAAGATGACCGAGTTGGTCTAAGGCGCCAGTTTCAGGTACTGGTCCGAAAGGGCATGGGTTCGAATCCCATTCTTGACAGGATCTTCTTTTTGTTTATTGATTGATTCCCCCAAACTTTAAAACTATTTTAATTAGTCCCCTAAACTCCTTCAAATAATAAAATTGAACTTTATTGAATCAAACCCTTTTCAAATTAAGT